CATGGAAGAAATGAGGAAGTCAAAGAGTTGAATGGGAAAGGTCAAAGGTAGCTCTCGAGAAGACGGTCAAGTACTACAATGAAATGTACATTGTTTGAGCTGAAAGAACCAAAGAAAAATTCAAGTCCGGCCTTGAATCTTGAAGGATTCTATGGGCAAAATGGAGTCCTGGTGTGGTGCTGTGGGTTAATGCGCTAGACTGCAAAGTTGGTTTGAACTGCAAGGTCGGTGGCTCAAGCTCACCAGCTACTCCTCAGAAACCCTATACAGAGTCACTATGGGTCAGAACTGACTCGACAGCACTTAACAACAACAACATGGGCAAAATAATGGATAATGCAGAAATAACAAAATAAGATGGAAGGAATATGCAGTCACTGTACCAAAAAGAATTGGTTGATATTTAGTCATTTCAAGAGATACCATATGGTCAAGAACCAATGGAACTGAAGGAAGAAGTCCAAGCAGCAATGAAGACATTAGCAAAAATTAAAAAAAAAACCCAAATCTCCAGGAATTGACAAAATTTACATTGAAATCTTTCAACAAACTGATGTAGTACTGGATGCGCTCACTTGTCTATGCAAAAAAAAAAATGGCCACCCTACTGGGAGAGAGCCATATTTGTGCCCATACCAAAGAAAAGTGATCCAATAGAACACAGAAATCATCGAGTAATATCACTAATATCACATACAAGTAAAATTTTGCTGAAGATAATTCAAAAATGGTTGCAGGAATACATTGACAGGGAGCTGCCAGAAATTAAGCCAGATTCAAAAAAGGACATTGTTATTGTTGTTAGGTGCTGTCAAGTCTGCTATGACACATAGCAACGCTATGCACGGGAGAACGAAACGCATGCCCTGTCTGTGCCAACCTCACAATTGTTATACTTGAGTCCATTGCTGCTGCCACTGTGCCAATCCATCTCACTGGGGAAAAGGACATGGAAGGAGGGATATCATTGCAGGCATCAGCTGGATATTGGCTGAAAGCAGAGAAGGCTAGAAAGATGTTTACTTGTACTTTATTGACTTTGCAAAGGAATTCAACTATGGTTAATATTGCAAAAACGATATTCCAGAACACTTAATTGCCTAAGGAGACTGTACATCAAGAGACAATCGTTCAAATAGAACAAGGGGATACTGTATGGTTTTAAATCAGGAAATGTGTGAGTCAGGGTTGTATCCTTTTATCATACTTATTCAATCGGTATGCTGAGCAAATAATCTGAGAAACTGGATTATATGGAAAAGAATGTGGCATCAGGATTGGAGGAAGAGTCAGTAACAACCTGCAATATGCAGATGACACAACCTTGCTTGCTGAAAGCAAAGAGGACTTGGAAATACTTACTGATGAAGATCAAAGTTACACCCTTAATTCTGAATTTCACCTTAATGTACAGAAAATGAAAATCCTCACAACTGGACCAATAAATAACATCATGATAGATGGAGAAAAGACTGAAATTGTTAAATACTTCAATTTGTTTGGATCCTCAATCAATGTTCATGGAAACAGCAGTCAAGGAATGCTTTAGGCAAATCTGTTGCATAAGGCATCTTTAAAGTGTTTAAGAGCAAAGATGTCAGCCTGAAGACTAAGGTGTAACTGACCCAAGCCATGGTATTTTCAATTGCCTCATATGCATGAGTCCTGGTGTGGGGCTGTAGGATAAACACTGGACTGCTAACCACAAAGGTTTGCAGTTCAAATCCACCAACTGCTTTCATGAAACCCTGTGCAGGGTCACTATGAGTTGGAACCATCTAGAAGGCACTTAACAACAATATATGCATGTGAGCATTGGACAATAAGGAAGACCATAGAAGAATCCATGCATTTGAATTATGGTGTTGGTGAAGAATACTGAAAGTATCATGGACTGCTGCTAAAAGAACAAACAAATGTGTCTTGGAAGAAATATAGCCAGGATGCTCCTTAAGAAGCCAGGATGGCAAGACTTCATCTCTCATACTTTGAACATAGTATCAGGAAGGACCAATCCCTGGAGGACATCATGTTTAGAAAGTGGAGGGTCAGAGAAGAAGAGAAATACTCCGACAAGATGGACTGACATGGTGGCAGCAACAATGGGTGCAAACCTAACAAGTGTGAGAATGGGCAGGACTGGGCAGTGTTTCCTTCTGTTGTGCATAAGGTCACTATGAGTTGGAACCAACTTGATGGCACCTAACAACAACAATAATAGCATGGATTATAATCAGGGAAGGTATGTATCAGGGTTGTATCTTTTTACCGTATTTATTCAGTCTGTATGTTGAGCACAGAATCCAAGAAGCTCAGTTATATGAAGAAGAATGCAGCATCAGAAAGAAGACTCATGAACAACCTGCGATATACAGATTGACAACTTTGCTTGCTGAAAGTGAAGAGGACTTGAAGCACTTACTGATGAAGCCCAAGGACTATACTCTTCAGTACAGATTACAACTCAATGTAAAGAAAACAAAAATCCTCACAACTGGACCAAGAGATAACATCAAGATAAACAGAGAAAAGACTGAAGATGTCAAGGATTTCATTTTGCTTGGCTCCACAATCAATGCCCATGGAAGCAGCAGTCAAGAAAACAAATGACGTATTGCATTGGGCAAATCTGCTGCAGAAGGCCTCTTTGAAGTATTCAAGAACAAAGATGTAACTTTGAGGACTAAGCTGGGTCTGACTCAAGTCATGGCATTTTCATTTGCTTCATGTGCATGTGAAAACTGACCACCAGAGAAGGAAGATGGGAGAATCGATGCATTTGAATTACAGTGTTGCCAGAAAAACAAATCTGTCTTGGAGGGAGTACAACCACAATGCTCTTTAGAAACAACCATGGTGAGACTTTAATCTCACGTTCTTTAGACACGTCATCAGGAGGGGCCAGTCCCTGGAAAAGGACATCCTGTTTGGTAAAACAGAGGGTAAGGAAAAAAGAGGAAGACCCTCAATGAGATGGATTGACAATGAACTCACACAGAACAGCTAATGAATTGGAAACAACTCTCTGGCACCAAACAGCACAGAACAGTCAGATACCAAAGTGTGCATCTACCACTGCTCGAAATTGCATGAATAACCACAATGACAATTGCAGTGACTCTGCTCTTTCTTGTGGTATTTTGTGTAGAGAACTGTGACTAAGGCAGCCGGTCATCTCTAATATCCATTCTTCCCATCTTTGGAAACAGAACCCCTAAGTCATTAGCGGAGAATATGGCTGCCCAGAATAAAGACAACGTTTCGCAACCTCCCTTGAAGTCAAGTGAGGCCATGTGACTACTTTCTGTCCAATCAGAGATGAAAGGAAGTGATGTATAAGATTTCCAGTGTGTGCCTTTAAAATGAATGGGAAAGTCCCCTTAACCCTAGATCAAGTTGCCTTTTGCTGTTTTGCTGTGTGATGTTGGAAAAGTTGCTTAACTTTTCTGAGGTTCAGCTACCTTAACTATAAAACAAGAGTTCTTAAAAACAGCTATCCTTACTGAGTACGTAGCTCAGACCCTGATATGCACTGTGCTTAGACGGTGTCAACTGCTTTTATTATTTTTGAGTGTTTATAGAAAGATGAAGCTTGCTACTCCCGTAAGGATTTACACCCTCGGAAACCCTGTACAGAGTCGCTATGGGTCGGAACCGACTCAAAGGCACTTAACAACAACAACAATTAGAAGCCAGGCCCTGCTCCTCATCTGTAAAATGGGGAGATGGAAAATGTACTTGCCTCAAAGAGTTTTTGCAAGGATTTACTGGCGATAGCCTAGAACAGTGTCTGGTCTGACACATAGTACATGCTTTCTACATGTTTGCTGTTGTTACAGGGCGTCCCCAATTTAGGATGTACTTGAGTAATGATGAACAACACTTAACAACTGTCCTATTTTTTTTTATCTTATCGTTAGTAATATGTGCTACGTACTGTGTTTTAGCATGTAATTTGCTGATGTTACCGTTCTCAGTTCTCAGGTAATGTTCCCAAGCCCCAAAGATAAAGATACAATTTATAGATAAAAGGCAATAATAATGAAAACTAAATAATAATAATAAAGAGGTATTCGACTTTTATCAGGACCAATGACAATGTGTAGTCATCAGGACTGAACACCTCCATAAGTCTGGAACTGTCTATATGATCTGAAAGTTAACTGAAGCTACTTGAAGACTTGAGGACTTTCACTCATTCATAAAAATGTTACAAGAAGTTTATTGAGTTTCTCAACGATTCCAAGTAGAATTTGAGTTGTGATTGCATAGAATGCACAGATTGCTTGAGGGAAAATTTTTTAGTTGAAGGAGACATGCACCTCTGTGCAGAAGCATGGGGCAGGGTGGGAATGAGCCCTGGGTGGCTGGATCTCTGATTTGAGAGTGATGTCCTGGCTCTGCCAGAGATGGGCTCAAGAGAACAGGGAGCCCAACCTCTGATACTCACCAGGGTCCAGGCTTCCACCTGGCATCTTCGGTAGTAGAACTGGCAGACCATGTCCTCTTGATTAGGTAGCCATGTGGGTGGGGTCCATTGGACCGTGGTCTCCATAGGCTCATCCTCTGAAAAGTGTATGTCCGGGCATAGCCACGGGGCATCCAGCTTCACTGGGGAAGGAAGAGGTCAGGGTGCATTGAGCCAAGGGCCTACAGGACCACCCTCCCCACTCAGAACACCACATTACCTCGTGTTTCCAGGTCCACAGAGATTGGGGGCCAGAGAGGCTCATCCGACTTGGCCCCCCAGATAAGGAGCGTGTCAAACTCAGTAAACTTTTCCCGTGGAATGGTCACCCAGCTCTGCCTGGTGGGCACTGCCATGACCTGGGGCCCGCTGAGATGGCTGTGGGACAAGGGGTACATTGGGCTGGACCCAGAGTCGTGATGACAAGAATCCTAGGGCTGGCAGAGTTATTTAGTATCGTGGCTGGAGCCTGTTCTGTTCGGGTTCAAATTCTAGCTCTGCTGATTTTGAGCTGTATGACATTGAGCAAGTGACTAAAGGTCTCTGTGCCTCAGTTTCTGGTAGCGTAGTGGTTACGAATCGGGCTGCGAACCTTAAGGTCAGCGGTTCGAAACTACCAGCTGCTCCGCGGGAGAAAGATGAGGCTTTCTACTCCCGTAAAGATTTACACCCTCGGAAACCCTGTACAGGGTCGCTATGGGTCGGAACCGACTCCACGGCACTTAACAACAACAACAACAAAATGAAGGCAATAAGATGAAAGGGTAAGGGAGGGGAATAAATGAAATAATAGAGTGTATTCAGAACAGCCTCAGGTGCACAATACATGTTATGTATGTATTAGTTACGGTATTTGAGCAATCAACTGTTACAGATCGAATTGTGTTTCCCCACAAAATATGTATGTTGTAAATCCTAACCTCATCCCAGTGGCTCTAATCCCATTCAGAAAGTTATTGTTTTTGTTATGTTAATGAGGCAGGAATAGTGTAAGATGTGTATCTTAAATCAATCTCTTTTGAGATAGGTGGTTGTTGTTGTTCTGTGCCATGGAGTCGGTTCTGACTCATAGAGACCCTGTACAGGAAGGGATTAAATGCAAGTTAGTAATCATAGATGGAGAAAGATAGCGTCAGAACACAAGGGACAAGGAGGCAGAAACGGAAGAGACAAGGACCTTCTTCCAGAACTGACAGAGAGTAAAAGCTTTCCCATAAAGTTGGCACTCTGAATATGGACTTCATTGTTCAATTCCAACTCATAGCGACCTTGTTTCCGTGAGGCGGTAAATCTTTTACGGGAGCTGAAAGCCTCTAGAGTAGGTACAAATCCATAAAGACAAAAGACAGATTTATAGTTTGCCAGTGGCTGCAAGGGGAGGGGGCAGCAGGGAGTGACTGCTGAATGGATATGGGGTGTCCTTTGGGGGTGATGAAAATATGTGTAACTTGATAGAGATGATAGTTGCACAACATTGTGAATGCCGTAAATGCCACTGAATTGTTCATTTTTAAGTGATTACATGTTTTGTGGATTTCACAGTATTAAAATCAATTTTAAAACAGGACCTTGCCCTCCTCTCAGCTTCCACCAGCTAAAATCAGGTCCCTCATACCCTGCTCCCACTTTTTGAGGTCACTTTTACCGTTCCCTCACTTAGCAGAAATGGATACATTTCCAGGTATGATTCATCTTTAAGGGAAGCCTCTCTCTCCGCTGGGCGAGAGCCCCAGGAGATCAAAGTTCTTTGCTTCATTCACTACTGTATCCCCAGTGCCTAAAACAGCACTGCCAAATGAACAAACGATCATTTCAGGTGTTCAGAGAAGTTAAGCTATTTGGCTAAGGTCGCACAGCACTACAAGCTGCTCCTAATGGTTAAATATGCTTTCCTTGCCAAGTGCTTAACTAGTTGAATCCTTAGAGACTCAACCCTGGAGGGCAAGTTCTATTATCATCATCACTTAATAGGAGAGGAAATAGAGGCTCAGAGAGGGGAAGTGATAAGTCCAGGAAACCTGAATTTGAAGTGCTTGAGTTTGGGGGTGGAGTGCTGGGGGCAGGACTCCTGGGTCCTCTAAACCTGAGACGCTTCCTTCATCCCCCCCTCCCTCCACTGCCTCAGTTTCCCCATGCCACTTCGCATACTCACTACTTCTGGCTCTGAAAGTGCAGCGTGGAAGGGGCTTCCGAGTCCCCCAAAGCCCTCCAGGAACAGTTCAAGTTGCCTGAGAGTCCAATTCGGTAGCACTGCATGGGACCGGGGTTGCCTAGAGATGGGGGCGAGAAGGCCCCCGGGAAGAGTCATTGCACATTCAGGACTTCTGGCAACTGTGGGGGCATCCAGCCGTCCCTTACGGAAGCGAGCGGCAGGAAGAGGCCACAGGGAGCCCCTACCCAGCTTCAAGCCGCGCTCCACCCCCGTCTCTGCCCGCGGGGAGAGCTAAACCCGCCACATCCTGTCGCTGCCACCACCCCGCTGAGCTGTTTTCCAGCTCCTTTCTTCGCAGGGGCCACGCGGTGTCCCGACCTCAGCGGTCCACTCCGCAAACTTCTGGCACTGTCTTTAACATGGAGCGTTGGAACCCGGAGCGCTGCGGTAGAGCGCCCTTCCCAGGAGCGCTCCAGACTCACCCTGGGGACGAATCCCGCTCAGCAGCAGACACAGCACAGGAAGCAGGCTTGGTTTGGGGAGCGGCCACAGGCGAAAGGGGACTGCCAGGACCCTTCGCATAGCGCCCCCAACCCCCAGTTCAGCCCAGCACCCCTCCCTCGTCTCCCTCTCTGGGTCCAGCGCCTGCGGCAGCCACGGGAAGCAGTCACCCCTTGGGGCCGCCTCCACACCTTGCGCTCAGGATCCCCGCCCCTTCCCCCCCCCCTGCTCCGGAAAGCCCCAGGCACAGTCACTGTAGAAAGGGAGTGGGGAGGCCGCCTGGGGGCGTCTTAGTCGGGGCACGAAACTTCCCTGAAACCTGCCCCAAGAAAACCAACACAAACAGAATGTAAAGTCCTTTGTAACTTTTATTATAGAGGTCGGAAAGGTTCTGCTTACTTCTCCTGTCAGTCCTCTATCCAAGGTTATGAAGCGAACCCAGATGTCTGGGTCCACAACCTTGGAGGTGGTTAGGTGGAGTTGAAGGGAAAGGGGCTGGAAGACAGGGGAAAGGCAGTAGGTTAGGGGCACAAAGGACCCCACTTAGGACTGGGCAGAGTCCAGGGCTCAGGATGGGGGACACCATTTGGTCAGGTAGGAACACAGCTTGTTCAGGACATAGGATCAAGGTAAGCTGGGCAAAGGGCAGGACTGGGGACTGCCCCAGCCTACTCTTCACAGGGGCCAGTGGTGCACTGATGATTGGCGGCATGAGGGTGGAGAAATGGTGACTACATGAGGAGATGGTGGCGCTGGGAAATCGGCCTGATATCCCAGCCCTCGGACTAGCAGAGGCTGCTGATGTCACTCTTGCTGCAGCCCCACTTGCAACAGTTGCTGGAGAGGCCAGCCAGGACGTCTCGGCCACCCCGCAGAGCCCCTGGGCTTCCTTGCCAGCTGGACTGGCTACCATAGAAGGTCTGGGGGGGTTTGGTCAGGGCCAACCACTCACTGGAGGCCACTGCCTCATCCAACTCGCCTGCCAGGCTGTCTGCATCAACTTCTGCATCTGGGAAGGTGTTCCCTGTAAAAAATGAGTTGAGTTAGCACTCAGGGTTCCTGGCTGGCTTGGAAGTTTCTCTGTTCCTGTGATACAGTCTTGTGGGTATAATGTTTCACTCCAATCAGGCCTGGATTCAAATTCCAACTCTGCCACCTGGACATACTATTCAACCCACTGAGCTTGGCTTTCCTGTCCTGTCATTTCTTTACCCTGTTGTCTATTTATTGAGGGCCTGATGGCTAAGAGCTTGCAGCCAGGCTGGTAGAACATGAATGCCGCCTCTGAGCAAGTGAATTTCTCTCTTAGTCTCAAGGTGTTTTTTGTCTGTAAAGTGAGAAAATAATACATTCTACCTTCTTGGGTTTTATAAGGAGTAAATTAGGGTGTGTGTGTGTTTGTGTTTTGTTTTGTTTGTTTTTTTTTGTGTGTGTGTGTGTGTGTGTGTTTTGTTTCAAACCACAAAGAAAACATAGAATAGTTTCTGGCATGTAACAAGCACTCTAAATAGCTTCGAAGATTTATTGGGCACTTACTGTGTGCCTGACACCATTCTAAATGCTTCTGTGGATTCATTTTCTTTTATTTTTCTCAATGTCAAAGTCATGAGATGGGGACTGTTTTTGAACCCCATTTTCTACAGAGGATGCTGAAGCCTAAAAGTGTGGAGTAAGTTGCACAAGATCACACAAGTATTAAGTTGGCCAGCAGCTATTTGAACACACATACACAAACACAATTGTGTGTCTCTCATCAACTCCCTCATCATGAACATCTAGTTTCTGCCAGGCTCCTGTCCCTGATGATGTCAAGCTTCCTGCCCACTGCCCTGTCCAGACTGTCCTTATCTGTTCTAGTTCAACTGTGCCACTGAACAGGGATTGTCCGTCCTGTTTCGCAGATGAAGGCGCTCAGAGAGGAAAAATGACTTGCTGAGGAGGGGCACCAGTTAGATGGTAGAACCTAGCCTGATACCCACCATATCCTGCATGCCACCCACTCCAGAAGGCGGAAAGCACTTATGTCATCTTCATGAACGCTGCCCCCTGGAGTGGTGTAAGCAGTTGCCCCTTTAGCACAGGCTCAGCACATAGAGACACTGAAGAACTAGCAGACTGGGCCCAATTTCTAGCTCCCAGCACAGATCCCCGTCTCTGCTTACCCATCCCCTGAACCTTGGAAGGTGGCTGATCTCTCAAGCTGCATGTATGGGGTCCAGGAGCTTTACTTCCCTGACCCCTGCCCTCAGTTCTGTTCCTGCCTCCCCAGGTCCATCTTGCCATCCCATTCTACCTCCCTCCGCTCCCACACCTGCCCAGCCTTACCCATAGCTTCATGGGTCAAGACGTCAGCCCGTCTCCACCTTGAACCCCCACAGATGAAAATGACTGCTCTGATGAACTCGCGGCCACAAAGCTTCACACCGTAGGGTGCAGCCCGGGCTTCAGCTTGCAGCCACAGCTCCCCAGCCAGCACCCACACTGCCAGCAGCAGCAGTAGCGTGCGCTTGGCCATGTTGGACAGAGGCACCTCAGACTGGGGAGAGGGCCAGCTGGCAGCTTTCTGGGGTGGTGACTACCAATACTTCTGGGCCCATTTATATCTCCTGCCTCCCCTCCGAACCCCACCAGTGTCCAAGATCTGAGTGACCTCCTTTATCTTCTCCAGCAGAGGAGAGACCAGAATGCCCCCGTCACTGCCTTGACCTTTCCCGTTCCTGGACCACGCGATAACCTTTCAAGGATAGAGTGACGTGTCCCAGCTCCCTGGCATCTTCCACACAGACAGGCAAGAAGGTCTTGATTCAGACCCAGACCTTGACCCCAGAAGTCTGGGTGAGAGGGAGCAGCCAGAACCCATGGGGCTGGGGTCCAGATCACTTCGAAAAGGATAATAATAGTAACCCAAACAAAAGCAATTAACAGTGAACGCCCCCCAGTACAGGCTACGGGGCATTAGTAATGTGTCCAGTTCTCTCAATAACCTATAACAAGAGTTCTCAAACTCCAGCCACCACCAGAGTCTCCTGTAGGGCTAGTTATAACACAGATTTCTGGGCCCTCCCTGCTCACAAAACCTCTGATTCTGAAGGGCTGCTGCGACACCTGGGAATCTGCATTTCTCACCACTCCCTAGGGCATGCTCCATGGACAAGACTTTTCTATTTGAACTACAATGTCAGCAGTTCAAGCTCACCAGCTGCTCCTCAGAAACCCTATACAGAGTCACTATGGGTTAGAACTTATATATAACATAACATTTGTCATTTCCACATATTTTACTTGTTGTTGTGTGCCATTGAATCGATTCTGATCCCTAGCGACCCTGTATAGGGTTTCCGAGGACTGGCTGGTGGGTTTGAACCGCCGACCTTGCGGTTCAAACTGACCTTGCAGTCCAGCACATTAATTCACAGCACTCTTTTATATGAGCAATTTAGTAATGTCAAACACCTTCATTGTGGTATACAGCATTACCATCATCCATTTTTAAAATCTCCCATAAAACAATCAACCATACACAATCAAGAGGGCAGCATTTGCCCAGGTATAAACTCAGGAAAGAAGGCCCAATGGAAACAGAAAGCACAGGGAGGAGGTGGAACAGTGCTGTTGCATTATGGGAGCTGCAATCTACATTTTGAAACAAAATGTATATGTATTATTGAATGGAAAATCAATTTGCTCTGTAAACTTTCACCCAAATCACAATAAAAAGTTAAAAACCAATAAAGTAAGTGAGGTGAAGTCCCCTCATCTTTGGTTCTAAGGCCCATTTTATGATTTGTTTGTATTTTTAAAATGGTATTGGCGCTGTAGGATAAGCACTGAACTGCAAGGTCGGCAGTTTAAACTCACCAGCTGCTCCTCAGAAACCCTATACAGAGTCACTATGAGTCAGTATTAAGATATACAGGGTCGGCAAAAATGAAGACCTCCAATAAGAAGGGTTGACACAGAGACACAACAATGGACTGAAACATAACAACTGTGAGATGGATACAAGACAAGGCAGTGTCTCTTTCTGTTGTGCCTGGGGTTGCTATGAAATGGAATTGACTCGAGGGGACCTACTAACAACAACATTAAGATAGGACATAAGTTGTTAAGTGCCATCAAGTCGAATCAGACTCATAGTGACCCTGTATAGGGTTTCCAAGGAGCAGCTGGTGAGCTTGAACCACGGACCTTGTGGTTCAAACCAACCTTGTGGTCCAGCGTATTAACCCACAGCACCCTTCTAGGGCTCCAAGATATAGATATAAGTGAATAAAATGTTCCATCACTCTTAACAGTGGCTCAGGTGCCCCTAAGCAATGATTCTCTTTTGTCCCCTCCCTCCTGCCCCAGGAAAACCTCTGATCAACTTTGATTTCTATACATCTAAAACATTAATTACCAAGAGGAGAACAAACAGGATGGCGGATCGGGTGGAAGTGCAAGTAAAGGAGCTCCGCCAACAACAACACAGAATACCCGACCAAGCAGGCTCAGGGACTGGTCCCAGAACTCTGAAGCACATAAAAAGAAATACTTAGAAGGTTGGAATGCTCACAGCTGGGGGAGTTTGTGGCAGAAGCAAGAAATCCATTGCTTTCTAGTCCAGGACGCTCGGCTGCTCCAGGAGCCGCCATCTTGGGTGAGACCATGTGGGGAAAGGATC